ACTTACACTGCAGAGATTAAGCCACAAATTGTAACGGTTGTCATGAGTAAGGTCATAACCATTTTCGCATCTCCTTTGGAAAATCTCCAATTCTTCGCATGAAAAGCCAAGATCTCTCCCAGTTGTCTCCACCTCTGTACGGCCACATGTACAATAAAACATTTTTACTTTGATATAAACCCACCACTCTTTGGTTGTTCTAACGTAGCAACTGGGCCTTTTGTACCTGCATAACATTAGCACATGCTGACATGTTTTCCTCACATTTTTAATACCTTTTACAGCTCTAATGTGTTTTCTTTCCTCCCTCAATTTCTTCCTTTCAGTCTTCATCTTCTCTTTTTCTTGTTTTGCCTTTTCTTTCTCAGCCATTATAGCGAGATTTTCTGCACTAGTCAGTACACAACCACAAGATTTTGGGTGGTAGTTTATCTGCCTGTTTAAAGGAGAAGGGCATTGCAGATATCGGCTAACACCTGAGGTTTGCGGTGACTGTAACCAAACAGACATAGAGGGAAGAGGATCAGACTGCTCACTAAGCCGTGTGTGATGCCTATGAGTGCCGTCATTAGTTTCTTGACTCACTTCATGGAATCTCCGACGATCACAAACCTTACGCTTTGGTGAAGGGCTGTAAAGTGGAATAAAGGCCAGTCCGCTCTGTTTAACGAATGAGGAGTCCTCTACGTGAGCAAACACATCTCGGTTGATTGGGTGCACCCCTGTTATTTTGAATCCTGTAGAGATGTTGCTGATGGTCATGCTTCTCATCCACGCCTTGTTAAAGAGTCTCGAGAACTGGTATCGAGTAACCGACCTACCGGGATTTGATGTTATAAACTGATGACACACCTCTCTCCAGGCAGTTTTTAGGGGGCCAAAACACCCCTTATCAAGCGGTTGAGTCAAGTGTGTAGTGTTGGGAGGGAGCGTAAAGAGAATTACTTTCTCCTTGGCAGCAAGACGGATTGTATCCGGACAGTAGTGGGACGAGTGACCATCAAGAAGCAAAAGAAGCGGCCGTGCTGCTGGTGCATAGTGCAAAAAATGATTGCAAAACCACATGTGGAAGAGTTCCATGTCCATCCACCCGCTCTTGGAGAGGCCGTAGATAGTTCCAGGGACTTCCCCTACTGTTAACTCAGGAGCAAGGATTTTCCTATCCCATATTACCATGGGAGGTATGCAATAGCCTGCTGCAGAAACACATGCTACAACTGTGATTTGTGTTTTATCTCCAGATCCAATAGCCGACACTGTTACGCCCTTTGGAGCAACTACTTTAGGAGGTTTCGCATCGAGTGGCATGCCACTCTCATCCATATTAAACAGTAGATCAGGCTTTCCTTCAAGCTGGTTGTCTTGGAGTGTCTGCTCAAGAAGGTCAAAATAGCGACCTAACATCTCTGGATCAGTTGCTTTGGCACGTGCCAATGACAGAGGAACAGAGGTCCGAAGAGTAAGGTTAGGGTGTCGGCGCCGAAATGATTCCCACCATCCATTAGTGACCATCTTCTGGTGGCCACGGCTCTCAAGAACAGCTTGGACCAAAGCTAGAACTTCCTTGCGAGATTTCGCATACCCAATTGAGGCACAGCGGGTGAGGAACATCACTAATTCTTCCTCTTCTCTTGGTGAGAGATAGGTAGCAGGACCACATTGTGCATCAGGCAAAACACGACCACTCAGCCGGTCACCGAGTGATGATTTTGGGACCCCATATTCTTCAGCTGCTCTCCGAATGCTTACCCCATCACGCACAACAGAATTAATTGCACCATACATTTGGTCCTGCGTCCACAGTCTATGTGTTCCAGATGAACGCCCAACGTCTCCACCAGATAAAGATAATGGAACGTGTCGACTACAGTCACTGCTGCGAAATACTCTATCCTTCAAGGGCACTGATCGAAGCATCTAAAGTTGAGTAAAAAATTAGTGATTGATTGTCTTATTTGCTTCTTGTAGTGAATCATGAGCGGAAAGGTCTTGCGCAATGCGAGTTGGACAAGAGTGCAATGCCATTCTGAGCAGCGCAAGCAAGTGTATAAAGTGTGAAATTTACGACACGATGTGCCGCATATTGTCGAATAAACGCCCAGGCATTCATTTGTTAACAACTTCCTAGACCCGACGTTTAAACGAGACCAGTGTTTATTAACGTGTGCCTACACGGAGCAACGGGTCTCTTGCGCGCAGATTTGGCTCAGCGAGGCTACGTGCACCAGCACATCCACCAAGCAATCGACGCAAAACTGCCAAGTAGCTGCTTTATTTCAGCGGATATGCATGTAAGTTTCATTGTTCCACGGTTGCAATGGTAGGGCAGGGGGCCATTTCATGATTTGCAGCTTTCAGCACCAAGCGTTTTTACACCTCTTGGAGTGGTGTTACCTGTCCTCGGAGAGTCAGGCACAACATCACAACAAAAGGTGTAATAAAATGTTTATCACCTATTAACTGGTCGTCGCTAGAAGAATCCCGCGTGTGCAAAAAAGCGGTGGCCACATTCTTCCAAGTAAGAAATACAGCAGAACAACCCAGGGCAGGCGAATACAATGGAGAGTGACGGACATCAGAGAAACCGTGTAGGACAGGTGCATGAACCAGGAGTGGCTGACAGCAAAGGTCTGCGGCAAGTTTTTCTGCTGTTGATCGTTTTCTGTGTACCGACTGCATTGTCCTACAGCGCTCACTTCTGCTATCTTACTCTGAAGAAACATCAGCCGCTAAACCGTGACGACTACAGCGATGTGGTGGCGTCCAGAATGGCAGTACTCGTGGAGGTCGTTGAGCAACAAGCAGGAACTACGTGGCATCGCTTGACTACCATGATGGGACTCGCGCGTCACTCAGAGATGGAAGCAGCTCCCGCTTTGGTGGATTGTAGCCAACTAAGTCGCAAGCAGCGAAAAACAGCTTCTGAACTGTGTAGCTTCGTATTCTGTGTTGAATTCCTCAGTTACCCGCCCTAACCACAGTGGAGAATGTGGATATTCTCATTGTCGCACCCTCTTGAGTGCTATACTATCATACATAAATAAATAGCAAACACCTAGCAACATGTAATACACAATTTTCGCACGTGCATTATATCCTGAGGATTGCTGACACTCTATACTGCTGGATCTAGCCTATCTTTCTCTACAATGGTGTCCGAGGATTGCTGGGTGACCGACCACTGATCGTTTACTCACGCTTTTATGGCGCTATTAAACATTGGCAAAAAATGCATCATATCCACGAGCAGAGCACCTTTACTGACTCATTTTTGTCCTTTCGAAGCGGGCAAACACCTGATAAGGGGAGAAACAAATAAAATAGTAGCAGTAGCAGGCGCTCACTCACCTTATGTGCACCTCCATCCACTCTACACACCAGGTCTTTCCACACACGTGGAAGGCATCAACTGCGCACGCGCGTCCGATCATTGAGGGCGTGACCTCGCCGAATTACGGGCTTGTTGCCAGGACATGGAAAGCGGTGCTCGCGATCGTGATAACGCTGATGGTAGTAGGGAAGTAGTAGTACCCGTTGATGTTTTCGCTTGGTTTGTGCGCCTCTGTTTGTAGAAGAAACGAGGGGTGTCCGACAAGCCATTATTTCGTCCGACGTTTTGTGTATTCGGACGTCGACTTCGTGCGCCAACCGCTCCGTCTAGGAGATAGGTGAGCGGGAAATATTTTGACAGTGGACAGCTACTTGTACTAGCTATCAGTGTATATGGCTGGATCTAGCCTCGGCCCTCTCTCTTTCTCTACAATTGTGTCCGAGGATTGCTGGTGACCGACCACTGATCGTTCACTCTACCTGCTGCCGCGCGGTGCAAAGGTCACGCAGTGAAAGCACTATCGCGTTTTTAGTGCCCTGGATCAACTGGAGGGTACGGACCCGACGCGTAGCGAGTTCCGGCCACGCCCAAAATCACTCAACGCGATGCACGCTAAACTTGGAGGATATGCCAGTGAGATTATGCATATTGGCTTTTTCGCTTGTTTTCACAGCATATTTCTCGAACGCAGTCGTTTCAGGAAAATCGCCCATTTAGTTTTCAGGCTCGCGTAGTTCTGAAGCCGCTGGAATCACTAACAGGCCGCCTCGTAGCCTGTAGTGCCAGAATAAGCGTCGACACACAGACGCACACTGACAAACTAAGTACTGTATATACCCTTGCTGCGCATGTGCGCCGAGGGTTAATTTGTATCGAGAGTCTTCTTACATAGCTTATCATTTCTCGAGTACGGTTTAATAGCTTATCTCGACATGATGCTTGTCCGTGCCAGTCTTGTTTTCTGCAGATGTATTTTGTTCGCATTACTCATGATAGGTAGGTGTTTTCCGATGTCATTAAAAGTGAGAATATTATTTATTCACTGTCCAGGCAATCATGGACAGCCAACTCTGGAGCCACCAACTGGTTATTTCTGTCCCAACGTCAACATCACTTACACTTGTCATGACAGTCAAGTAACCGAAATGACATGGTTTGCTGAACCTTACTTTTCAGGCAACCAAGGAATCCGGTATGCAGCAGTATCCATTAATCAAACCAAGAACATAGGAGACAGTTTCTACACACAAGCAACCAGTTTCAGTGTAGATATTGAGACAGAGAAGTTTATCAGTGTGACAACTATTCTGACTGTGATCACTAGAGGCATAGAGAATGGAACAAATATCACATGTCTGACCTATAGAGGTGGATACCCCCTGGTGTCCTCTTCCATCCTCTACTTTGCAGGTAATGATCTGAAGGTAACTGTTATAGCTATTGCGCTGCTTCTTTAGATCTCCCTCGCTGGAAAAACACCTCAGTGATTATATGCCGAGAGAATAACATAGCAGTACTAGAGTTGGAAGATATGTATGATGGAGGAGGAGTTCCTATCGATCACTACATTATTCAAGTGGACAGCGGCACACGGTTGGAAACTCCAGGCCCAACTTACAGTTTTGACATCATGTACAATACTACACTGCCAGTGAACATCTCAGCCCACAACTGTGCAGGATACAGTGATTTGTTTCTACTTGAGATACAGTACAATCAAGGTGAAGAAATTTGGTAAATTATCCTTTAACCTAAAACTATACTTAATAGATTCAGTGGAGGATAGTACACCCAGTATGACACCAAGGCCTTTCACTCGTGGTGATTCCACAGTTCTTGTGATTGTGGTACCTGTATTAGCTGCTGGGGCACTTCTTGTCATCACAATATCCGTTGTACTCATTGTTTTGCTAAAAAGGACATGTAAGTTGCCATCATTGTCAAAGTGTTGACTATGTGTTAAATTCCTAGGTAGTACTAATAAAAACGGACAGCAGGAGAAGTGTGATGTGGTGGAGAACTCTGCTTATGGTGTCCATGTTCAAGGCTCAACACTGGAGCCAGACTACAACATGGAGAACAACCCACTGTATGAGATGAGGGTACTGTCAAATGAGGGACACTCACACAAGACACAAACACCAGTTCCAGTCCCTGTGTATGAGACTGTTGACACTGTGGCTCTCTAAAATGTCTTTTCTTTTCCTATTGTTGGGAGTATCATACTGCTATGTATAGCAATGAAATTATAAAAGCTTGTATATACCTTGTCCTGAAAAACAGCACAGTGCTGATTAGGCCACTCCAAGTTGCATTCCGGTTTCTGGTCAGGGCCTTTTAAAGTCAGGATGCGGGCGGGTTTTACTCATTATGTCATTAGTATAATATGACCCAAAAAATTTATAGTGGGAAGGCAGTCAAAACAGAAAAGGAGACAAAATAATGCAGCCATGAGTACACACAGCATAGCATGCGCAGTTAGGCCAAAACTGCGTTCTCTCGAAAAAGGTGTGGGCGGCGGACTATATAGAAACCGGTATTTACACCGTGGAGTGGCCTTACGGATATAGTAGTTTCAATAAGATCAGCAAACCAAAACCACTTGACTGTCATGACAAGTGTAAGTGATGTTGACACTGGGACAGAAATGACCAGTTGGTGGCTCCAGTGTTGACTGTCCCTGATTGCCTGGACAGTGATAAATTCTGAACTCATAGGACAGACACTATATACGTTATAAACACTAACCTATCAATACCATGTAGAGAATATAGCTGCAGAAACTAAGACTGCCACGGACACGCATCATGCAGAGACAGCTGTAATCAAGAAATGACAAGCTATGAAGAAGACTGTCGATATAAATTGGCACAGGTTTTTATGAAACCGATTGGAGTGTTATGCACAGAGTAGTACCGTTCTTTCTGTTTGGAAAGAGCCTGCCACAATGTGTTTGCGCATGCGCGAGGTATTCCGTAAGTAATAGTTATTTCGTAGGCTTCGTGTTGTGGCACGTCTGGCTTGGGCAATTAGATCCGGTGTGTAACAAGTTCATTTGTTTTTAAAGCACTCCTGATCCAGATCGTGATTTATCTTTGCGCTCAAAATGTTAGATGGAAGCAAACTACTTCGCTGAGATGTGTCGACTACCATCATACTGAAGAGGCGCTCGGATCGGCTGTAGAATGTGGCCAAAACGAGCAAAGTCTTACAGAATCCAGTTAAATGACTAAAACGATTCTCACCAATCTCACCAGCAGGCTTGAATAAATCTCCAACAGAGGCACAAAAAGATTTGCATGCTGGTATATAGCTAGCTGGGACGGGATCTGGTAACGAATGATACTCACGGAACTCCATCAGTATAGCGTGTAAGTCAGCTGTTGGAGTAAAAGAATCTTGTAACTGATGCTGCCGAAAGCGAGGATCAAGCAAGCTTAGGTCGTTGATTGTCCGGCGCGGCATGAGGGCGGGCCGGCTACGACGGCGGAAGGCGTGGCTCCGCGACGGCGCCAGCGCGCGCAAGTGTAAAAAAGCGGGATTTTCGTACTTCATGACGGATGCCGGGATCAGAGCTCAGGTGCCATCAACGCTAAGTCACCGAGACAGTGGGTGTGGTGTCTGCAGAGTGAGGCAGTGCAAGACCACCTGTTTTGCAGTTTCACCAGTTGCATGGACTGAAGTAATTGCAATTTCAATCATTGTATATAATATGTTTCCTTATCGCTTGAACTCATTCACTATCTAAGCCACTCTCATACGAACTCTTTCGGTCACAAAATGTCGTAAATTTACACACTTCCAGAAACGTCAAGAAAACTCGCACATTTGTGAATTATGACCCAGTAAGCGGGCGGCATGGCGGCATTATCTGCATAAAAACCACCCACGCATCCTCAGAAGTGGTCGGTCGGCACTTGGATGTGTCGGTTGGAGAAAAGAAAAAAAAGCAACAATGTCCGGATTGCGTGAGACATGTCATAAATGTCTCAGCAGGAGGCACAGAGGCCGTGCGTTGGTCTGTAAAACGGCAGAAAGAAAGACCGCCACAGCGCGCGTGCGCCGGATGAATGGGGTGTGTCGATTTGGGCAGAATTACGCATGCGTTGCGAACACGCCACTGGGCGTGGCTTTACGCCTTAAGCGCAAGGCGGCGTGTCTTTTGACGTGCCGATGGTGGCTTGACATCGTTGCGGTGCGGGCTCCACCGCGGGGGTTAATACGACGCGGTGTTCTCCGCCAACTGGCTCTCCGTAAGTCTAAGTTTGTGCAAGCAAAGGATCTGGTAGAAGAAATCCGGCCAAATGCGACAAGAAATATCGGTTACCATTTCCTATTCATTGGACTCTTGTTTCACGGTGAGATTCTGGGCCGTGTTCTATCTGCAAAGCGATTATGCACTGGAGAGCCAGCTCTGCAACCACTGTCTTTTCATTCCTGTCCCAATGAATCTGCAACATTCACATGTAGTGACAGCCAGGTGTCTGTCATGAAATGGGAGTGAACCTTATACAACGATAGATGGTGATCTGTCTTATATTTGCTTCGATATTATGGCAGACTCAGAACTGCTACAATGAATAGCACCAACATATACTCCACTCAACTGTAGTCTTCATAAGATTGATGAGAATTTTGCAAAACATGACATCACTCTAACAGGGCAACGTCTGGCATGAGAAGTGGGACAAATGTCACTTGTACCACTTTCATTGGGAATAATGAGTGTAACATGACTGCTACCATGCTAGTTACAGGTTGGTGAGCAAACATAACAATAATGAACTTAGTTTTTAGTTATAAGTGTCATTTCAGATGTGTGCCTAACTCTAAGGCACAAACTTTTGTATACAAGAGTGAAGGAGACATATTTCACAGCAGTACTAGAGCTGGGAGATATGTTTGATGAGGAGTTCCATGATCACTACATTATTTCAAGTGGACAGCGGCACACAGTTGGAAACTCCAGGCCCACTACAGTTTTGACATCATGTACAATACTACACTTCAGTGAACATCTCAGCCACAACTGTGCAGGATACATGATCTCTTACCACTTGAGCTACAATATGATGAAGGTGAGTTTATGGTGAAATAATGATTGTTATCTAGCACTATAATATACAGATTCTGAGGATAGTACACCCAGTATGAACCCTGAGGCCTGACACTGTGGTTCCCCGTTGTGATTGTGGTACCTGTATCAGCTGCTGGGGCACTTATT